TTAAGTTGTTGTTTTCTATTTAAAAAGTAGCAAATTTGTAATATCTTACCACAGATTGACTCATGCTACGTGCCTCTGGCAGAGTCTCAAATATTTTGGCCCTAACTGGCAGCAGGGTGTTAACACCCGCCTCGGCCACACGTTCAGCAACTCCGCCAGAAAAGGGATCCGGATAGCTGTGAGGCTCATAAATGGAAATCTGGAATATCCTTGCTTAACTCTAGTGGAAATTCTTTGGGTATATCTTTCAAATCTCACCAGAAATCCATTGTGTCCATTGATCTTGTAGAAATTATCACTAGGCTGAGTCTTAAGAGTCAAAACCAAGCCCATATCGGGTCCAAAGTAGCGCTGACGAAAGTCCCTTTTATTTATGTACCTATTAAAGGGAATACTTAAAATATTCAATAATTAATCTGAAATAATATTCGTTAGAAACCTCCCTTCCATCATAATTGAAAGTGCAGCAGTAGCCATGGCTCGTCAATGTCTCCTCGAACTGATCCATGCAATCGAAGAGTGCTCCTGCTATCCTGCAGCTTACAAACATATCGGTGCAGTTCGGCGTCAAAGCATGCATCCTTTTTCTAGTATTAAAAAACAGATCCTCTGCTCCTGTATCGAACCTATCCAGGAAGCTCTGGAAACGCAGGGCATCGTCTATGTCCTGCAGGTCCCAAGGATCGTAATACAAGTACATGAAAGCCGTTAGTTTGTCATAGAAGAAACTAGCATTATGCCCTTTGGGATCCTTGCTGCTTCTATTTAAAAAGAATCATTACTCTCTAAGGGATTGCTATTACACAAAGGATAGAACCCACAAATCATGGGCATAACGCCAGGCCGCACGCCGTGATATACGGTTCAGACTGCACACGGATATCGCAGGAAATTCCACCTTCCAGATGGGATACATCGGATGGTACATGGTGGTCACCAGTGCATCCTGCTCATTGGTGTAGGTGCCCCAGAGGAATGCAATTAGGACGCTCAGGGCGGTTAGGTGGAAAACGAACCAGAAGAAGCTGCGGGTGATACGGATACGACCTCCGATTTGGTAATGGCTAATGCTAATTGAAAGGGACCCCGGCTCCGGATGTATCCGGCCCACCTACCGCTCTTGAATTCGCCTACCCTGCTCCACCAATTTGCCGTAACAATGAAACGACAGGTTCTGCAGAAAATCCTTTAAAGCGGCGGCAAATGACAGTTTTCGCGTATCCTCCGCGGAAGTGGCGGTGGGCACAGTCGCAGGTTGAATGACTATTTTCCCGGGGTTGGGTATCCACCAGGCGGCACGACCCACCGCCAGTCGAAGGGGCAGCCCGGCCGGCTCTCGCTTCATACTCCTGAACTCCATGGAGGGCTCCTGTTCCTTCTCGATTGCAACCGGTCCAACACTGGCATTGTTCCATTGAGTGCGGGCTGATTTTAATGAAAATTTCGCAGTCATGTCGTGCGTGTTGTTGTAATTAGGCCTGGTGCTCCAACTTATTGCCAACAAATTAACTGCGACATGGCACGTGGTGTTTTCTAGGAAGGGGAAACTGTTGAGAAGTACGAGTAAGTAGAACCAAGAGCCATAGGCATTGGTCCTGCTCCCGATTCGTCTTGGCAATTTCCCTTAATTGTCAACAATTTAAAATGAAATTAGTTAAATGCGCGTTAAATGTCAGCCAGCGGAAACATCATCATCATCAGCGGCGACAGCAGCAGAAACAACTTGTGTCCTTGTCCTTATCCTTAACCCCCGAAAAAAGGAAACATGTTTCCCACTCTACAGGATTATGAGCTGCGTAGGACACGTTTTGGTGGTGGCCTATGTCTATGATTACGATTTTTGAACTCTGGTGCTTTAAGCTGATTAAATATTTTACCAATGACTTTACAACAGGTTTCTTGGGGTTTTTCAAAGTAATTGGTTTCCTTAAGGAATATGTTAAATATTTTATTTTCATCAGTCAATAACAATATCAGGGTTCAAACATTCTTAAAGGAATCTATACAAGAAATTTGTAAAAGGCCCCCTTTATCATTAGCACTTCCCTACTTGAGTGATGATGGGGTTAAATCTTTCAGTCATAATTTAAAAATAAAACTTTAGACTTCAAAAGGAGGAAATGGAGCTAGATAACAGACAAGGCATTTCGGTTGTCCCAGACCAATTAATGATATACGATGATGATAAATAACCAATAATCAAAATAATAAATGATACGATAACCAAGGTTAAATTTTCAAAGCCAAAGATGTTTAATTCTTTATTGACTGAGATTTTTGGAAATATATATATAAGTAACATTAAAATTTATTATCTTTTAAGACGTGTCTAGATCGACTCAGCTGTTGATGCTGATCAAGAATATATACGGTTTATAGGGTCGGAAATGACTCCTTGTCTTGGTTGTAAACTTATGACTGAATTTACAATACCCTAATAATGTAGCAAAAGTTGGCGCCAAAGTCAAGTTCGATTTTTAAACTATCGTAAGAAATCAATACTCGTGAATATATAATTAAGTTAGGCTCTGAACTCAGTATATGTTTATAGATATCTTAAATAAAAATTGCTGTGTCACTATAAATCGAGTTTATTAATTAGATCCATGGCAATAAGGTAATTAATTGCAAAAGAAACAAATAGCTCGGCCTGATCCGTCGCATAGCATATATATATATATATATATATATATATATATATACATATAACATACATGATATAATTGTAATGGTTATGACTTACCGAAGTAGGGGACACGCACTTCTTCCTGTTTATCCAGATGCATTCCAAAGGCCACGTCATAGTTTTGGTGTCGCAGGGTAATCACAATCACTATCACTACCGATGTTACCACTCGAGAGACCACGGACAGACTGAGGCCGGCGGGCCTGCAGCACCTCTATTTATACTCCCCAGGCAAGAGAACAGAGAAAGTTTGAGCGAGAGAGTAAGGGATCGCATTAGAGAAAGGCAGGGAGCGCTATAGAGAAAGAGGCCTATCTAGAGAGGCACAAAGAGAGTAAGAGAGAAGGAGTTCCCTCCAGAGTTACAGAGAGCGGTAGGCATACATTTAACGATCGTTCCTATGGCAGCTATATCGTCGTCCGATTTTATTAAAATTAATACCAAAATTATAAAATAATACAAATTTAAGAACTAATAAATAAATAATATCTCAAATTATATAAAAAATTGTTTAAAATATGGAAAAGTTATAAGTTTTTTATCTAATTATTATACGATCATTTTTATGGCAGCTATTTGGACTCGGCTGTTGATGCTGATCGAGAACATATATACTTTATGTCATCGGAAATCACTGCATTGCAAAATTCGAACTTAAATTATTAATTCAAGCAAGAGTAGAAAAAGAAAAATATTTGCCTATATAAAAAAAATAACACGCCAAGACCAATATTAGTTGAAACACACAGACAATTCACGTATAAAATCAGCTTGGAAAAGCGATTGTTGAAACATATTGACACGGGAGGAAATGGCATATTTTCGACGGGATCGAATGGATGCCTCGAAATCGCGACAAATGGCACTCCAGGTGAACGGCAGCAGCCAAATTAATCTGCAAATAAGCAGGTAAAGAAGGAGGCGAGACCAGAGTCGCCAAAGATAAACGCACAAAGCGCTGGGAAAAATCTGGGAACAGTATGGAGGCTGTTCGCTTCCCTTTTCAACCTACGAACGGAAACGGAAATGAAAAATGTGAAAAATGCAATGCGCAGCGAGACGCGAAAAGCGACCCTCAATGAGAGGGGTGGGGAACACGTGGAAAAGGATAAGGATAAAGGGAAGGGGAAAATGGCAAATGCAAATTGTCTACGGAGCTCCTGTGCGTGCATATGCGTTCCACACGGCGTATGAGTAACGTGTCTTTTATCATGCATCCACCTTACCTTGCCACTCCTTGGTCCCCCGCCCCCGGCGTTAATTCCGGTGCCAATAGTTTGCCATATCTCTTTGCGTGGATATATAACGCAGTAAATATCCAGACAAAAGCTCAAGCCAAGTGTATCCTCAGCACTGAGCCGGAAGTTTCGCTTGACATTGGGAAGGGGGATTCCCTTTGATTCTCAATATTTGTTCTGATTGTTTTAATTGAACATTTCCAGGCAATTAAAAATTTTAAAATATTAATTTATTGTCAAAACAATGAATAACCAATTTAAATTACTTAAATTACTTAAAGGTATAAAATGGAGAGCCTTTCTTAGGGTTTATAATCTTCTAAGCTAAGACCAACCAAATCAAGTAAAGGATTACATATTTACCAACCCATTTTGTTAAAAATGTTTGATTTTGTACATTTAAAAAAGAATTGACTCCCAAACCGCCAAAATAGTTTTAAAATAAAAGCTTCAAGACCATTTAAAGGGTCCAGAAAAGGGTTCAACCTAAAGGAACTTTTGAAGCTTTTTAGTTGCTAGGTGGATGACTCTGACATTCAAAGGACCATAAGGATAATGCTTCTACAAGCTTTTTTGGAATATACTTTATATATTTATGGCTTTCGGGCAATCCAAAAGATGGCAAAGAAAAAGACTATGCATAATTTTAGGCAAAATCAAACACTGTTGTAAGCTTATTGCTATAAAACATTTTCTTTGTAAATATATGTTTCTTTTTTTAAGGAAACATTTAGGGCTAATGCGATTATATAATATTTTGATGACCTTGGATAACAATTTTTACAAGTAAAATTCATAATCAGCAAAACAAACATGAATCACTCTGACCGGAACTCACTTAAATGGGAATTAAAAAACTTGTTCTCAACTAAACCGATCCTCAGACTAATTAAATATATTTTATTAAATGTTTTAATTACATAATAACAGTAATTATCAGTAATTAGCTCATTTTCAATATTAAGGGTGTTTTGCGTTGAATAAAAAATCGCATAAGATTCCTGGAGTTAGAGAAGTTAATATATCTTAAAAATATAAGTCATATTCGAACTAAACATCGATTAAAATTAGCAAAATTTAAGAAAAAATGCTTTTTTAATTGCTGTCTTGTATAACACGATAGAATACATCTCTAAGTTCAGGATTGGTATCCTGCAAGCTGCGATAATTGTTTATCAATGGCTTTCTCCTCGAATCCCTCAGGTTCCAAAGCTTAGCGATTTGACGATGGGGGAACTCGAGAACATCATCGAAGACAGTCCAAGTCACAGCCTCCGCACAGTCCGGTGTGGTAAGAGATCCTTTAAAGGAGTGTCAGAAAATATAGAATAAATACATATATCTATACTAACTCACCATTGTATGTGTAAAACTGTCCTGTTACAATATTACCCAAAAGTTGTCCCACATTCAGTTGACCCGTAATTGTGGCATTCGCCTGATACTGGACAATACGCGGCAGCTGATTGAAGATTTTATTGAGACCATAATTCTGGGTAGTCAGCCGATTAACTGACTTGAACATCACCCCCAAAACGGCCAGACCATCCCAATTCTGGGTAGCCTCAGCCATGGTGTCGTAGCGCTTGTTCTTATGGACAATATGCATTTCCACATCGAAGCGCTCAAAATTAATGGCATGCTCCGAACCCTTGGTATTCCGTGATCCCCAATGGAAGTGTACACTCTGGGCCTCAAAATCCCCGGGCAGCAAGGCGCCATTTATATAAGGTCGATGGCCATCTCGGGTAACAGGTAAGACCATGTTTGCTAGGAATATGATTGATTATAATGGAAAATAAATATGAATAAGTATAAATTCAAATAATCCTTGATCCTTTCCTCCTTTACAAGCATGGAAAAGAGTATTATATACCTGTGTGTCCATTATTCGTTATCACCAAAGGCGTGCGCAGCGATTGATTATAGTAGTTGAAACGCAGACGACTTATAGAACTGACTTTGGACTGCAAATATTATATTAATAATCCCAAAAGCTCGAAAAACGTTCTGTGACAACTTACATCCTGAAGAATCAAATCTATGGGAGACTGTTTCTGGCCAGTGGCGCAAGTTCCCTGCCAGTCATCGCCTTGCTCATCGTAGTTATACTCACCAGCTGCGCTCTCATCCGCCTGATCGGCCCTTATATCTGCAAGGTATTCTTTAGGTATCTCTGAAAAAAAAAAAAAAAAATTAAAACAGCTCTTAACAAAGTCTTAGACCACTTACCTATGAAGGCAAGAGCACATCCCAAGGCGGTCAGCAGGCACCAAAGACTATAGGAGAACATTTCTAGCAAGTACTTCTGTGTTCCGTTCCCTTTGGAGATTGCAGTCAGACTGTGATTTGCTCCGAACAGAGCAGGACCATTTATACCCTGGCAGAACCTGGCAAGTGCAATAATTTTCACCAAGTGGGTGTGCATAAGAGTCAGATAAGAGCAATCGGTTCTAATCACTTCTCAGCTGAGCCCTGTGGGCACAATTTACATTGAAATTGCAAATCGCTTTACACTTTTACGGTTGCCAAACCACCTTGGTAATTGACTCTGGCCAAACGACGAAGATCCGTAATTACTTAAGGCGGTTACAATTAAATTTCTTAGATTCTAGAAAGAGAACCATGGCTCTGATTGCTCTGATTCAAGACTTAAGGGAGTAATTAAGGAGGAGCATCATCGGTTGAATTATTAGAATGGCTGGTGAATCAGTGGTCACTTTGTCATAAACTGGGGAACTGCCTTTAGATGGGTATTGCAGATATTTTGTTCTTTATTATCAAGTATATATAATTATGTCGCTAAAATCAAGGCAGTACTTATATATTTTTACTACGAATAACCTCATGTCTTCTACATACCATTTTCAAGTTCAAAAGTTCATCAAATATCAATAAAAGTTTTAACTTTATACCCTATCACTGATGTCTGGAAATCCGTCTCGATTAAAGGTAAACTCATAAAGCGCTTATCTTATAGTTTAACTAAGACATTGCCCCTTCTGAACTTGGGTAACAAATTAAATATTTCTCATACTACTGATTAAATCATTTACTGGCATCATAAAAATATTTATAATTCTTTATGAGCATAATTATTTTATCTTTATTTCGGAGACAGTTACCTGGGCAAATTGAATTTACTTATTTCTCAAATATAATCCGATTTGATTATTTTATAAAGACAATTATAATTTTTGTTTAATATAAAGTAAACACTTGCAAAACCCAAGTACTGACTTTTACTAAGAAAAGGCAATGCCACTGCTCTTGACCCAAAACTGCAACTTAATTCGGCGTAGTTCTATATAAAAAAAAGTGTTATTGTTAAAAACAATAAAGTAAGTTTAAAAAAATTGGTTCAATAGTATTATACAAAGAGTTTTTTATAATTTCCGATACATATCATTGTGTGCCTTTTTATTACAGGGATAAATGGCAGTCTTATTAAAACCGTATATCGGTCTTATAAAGCTTGATGATGGTTTCCATTACTAATTAACCAGAAATAGACTCATTTCTATAAGTTTATTATTCTCTCTCAGTGCCGATATTCTAATTCAAATTTTAACACCTGTTGCAACAAATAGAGCAGGTGTAACCTGCTTCCACATAAGCTAGGGCTCTTCGCTCTTGACCCGGCTATTTCTCAATTCCCTTACTTTTAGCATAAATTTAAGTAAAAATATTAAGTTAAGATGCAATATAATATCTAACAATTTTGTTATGAAAGCAATTTCTCTTCCATCTTTTGTAAATATTAAATAAACAAATTTTATTCAACAAAAACGGTTAACTTAACTAAAATAAATACATAATTTACAGATGGTAACCAAAATAATCATATCATCACTTTCCCAGAAAGGTTCCACTTAGATCTTTGCCGGTTCGATAAAACACCGGTCGACCATTTCGCGGTTGGGTAAACCTATAATTATTGATCATTCTGTGACCCTCAGAGTCACGCAAGCGCCAGAATCTCGATATCGATGAGTAGGATATGGGCAGGATATGGGAGAACACGGTCCAGGTGACTGCCTCCTGACACTCCGGCGTGGTCAGTGATCCCCGATAGGTGAAGAAGTCACGGGTACTCAGGTCGCCTAGCATTTGACCCAAGCTCAAGCTGCCAGAGATCTGTGCCTTGTCTTTATAATTGATGATTTTTGGCAACTCAGCCAGGACTTTGTTTAGACCGGGAAAGATACGTTTAGGATTCTGAAGGTGAGTGTAAAATAATATATTTTAGAGTATATAAATTAATTCTTTATATATAACAAGAGTTAGAAAATATTTAACATTAAAAATACTAAGCTAGCTTTCGATAAATTTTAACTCAGAATATTAATTTTAACTTAAGTTGTAGTCATATAACCTACTATTGATTCACACACTATATGTATAACATTTTATTCATAAAAATTAATAAAGCAAAATAAACACAATGAACACACTTTCGGTTTAATGACACGTAGTTTTGTTTGCCTTGAAAGATTAAGTTACATTTTTATTTGTGTCGTTTTTTAGCTGCATTATCACGTCAAGTTAGATTTGAAATGTTTTACAATAGAAAAGCTTTGAGTATTATTTATAAAACACTCTCTTAAACCATAAAATCTCTAAGACTACTTACCTTGACAATTCTAAACATAATTCCAATAACAGCCAGACCATCTTTGTGCTTAACGGCTTCACTGAGATCCGAGTATTTGGCATTCCGATGGACGATGTGCAGTTCCATATCGAAGCGCTGCTTATTGATCGAGTGCTCAGATCCCCGCTGGTTCGGGGATCCCCAATGGAAGTGGAAGCCATCGGCCAAATAGCGACCCTTAAGCAGGCCTCCAGTAATGAATGGTTTCTTGCCGTTAGTCGTGGCAGGTATATCCATGTGAGCTGCAATTAACGTTTTCCCACATATTCGATATTATATAATGGCAAGACCTGACCTACCTGAATGTCCATTATTCTCCAGGGAGAGCGGTCCCCGTAGCTTTACGTCATAGTTTCCGAAGAAGATGCGGGGCAATGGCACGATGAGCGACTGACAGAAAGCAAAAGTTATTGAAATAAATTGGCCAGCTCTTTTTTACAATCATTTCTACAATCATTACCCCTTGTAATGTGAAAAGTGGCGTAAAATAGGTATTCATTTCCAGAGCAATTTGTACTACAACTCGGTTTCGCTTATCAAATTAGCTGTCAAAGGTTTCAATTGTAACCAACGAACGTCAAATTTGGGTATCACATTGATGTAATCCAATTACATATTCCACTTTTTGAACTTACCCAACATAGTTTATGTGATTACAAGAGCCTTTCCTAGGAAGACTTTAAAATTTCCCTATAGTTTAAAGTTATTACTGATATTATGGGCTCTAAAATATTTACTTTTTCTTGTGGAAAAATTCTATGGTTTAGAATCTTTTAAGGAAAATTTTTAGGAACATTTTGACTAATGCCTAAACGATTTTGATAAACAAAAGACCAGACAAAGTCTTAATAAATGCGCATACCAATTAGGTCTAAATATTTTGCTTGCATAATTAATACACGTTAAGGTGATACATATTTTTAAGTTAATTGTTTTCTTTTTTATTTGGAGTATAGAAATTTTGACCAATGGAAATTCACCCTTAATCTTGCTCTAGATTCCTTTTTTATACCATTTAATTTTAGAACTTTACAAGTCTATTTTGTATATAGAACTCACTTTTTGAACCGCTAACTGAAGTGGTGACTGTCGCACTCCCGAGTCACAAGTGCCGCCCCAATTCTCGCCATGCAGCTCGTAATTCCAATGTGTCACCTCGGTCTCGGCATCTGCAAGTTTGAAATTGTAGCAAAAAACAAAAGCCTGACAACGTTTTCACTTTCTTTCAGCCACGCTTAGCTGGTAGTCCGGTAATCCTATTAGCCAAGACCGTGAATAAATTCACTTCTGTTTCGATCATCGACGGACGACGACGACGACTCTCTCATTTCTGGCGGGAGCCAAACAAGGTATGGCAGAATGATTAATTATGGTTCGGCAAATATGGGGGAAAGAGTTCAGACCCGCTGGGTGTTAACTATTAAGTAACTGATGTAATATTTTTGGGCTTTATTAGTTCCCTTTTCACACACACTCGCACACACACAGTTCCTGGTATGCAGTTCCCAGTGGGAATGCGTTCTGGGCTTTCAATTACCATTTGATGTATGCTGATAGGCGAGCGGCAGCAGTAGTAAAAGCTTGTGAAAAACACTCGACTGCATTGTTGCAGATTTACTATCCGATGTGATTGTTCTGATTATGATTATATATATATATTTAATTGATTCTAGCGGGCGCGTGTGTCTTTGTCTCGAGCCGTTTGAAAATTTTACATAAATTATCCAATCCGATCCGATTTGATGTGATGCGATGCGATGCGAATGCGAGGGAGATGTGTTAACGGTGGCAAAGTTACTGCTGCTGCTGCTGCTGCTGCGAACGTTGAACAACTGAAACGGCCCACAAATGGCCCCATAACTTTTATACCGGGGTTATAGTGGAGCGGTTGCTCAGCGTCTTGGGAGTTGCTATTGGAAGTGGATGTGGAATTGGAATGGAATTGTATCCGATCGGATCGGATCTAAATTTGAGGCGTAAGTGGGGCGTGATTAGCGCCAAACAGTAGCACCACCAGCGGCAGCAAGTGTGGCGCTCTAATTGCAGCTGTTTGTTTTCGAAATGATAAATGATGGATCAAACTGTTGGTGTGTCTGCGCAATGTGTCGAGGAAAACCATATAAATTTAAACGCTGTGGAAATGCGGAAAAGATCTGACAAAGTTTGCTGAACTCTTACACATTCTTTGGGTATTTTAATTTAGAACTAAGACTTTATAAATGCAACTGGTTTGGTACTTAAATAAAATATGTTCTGCTTTAATTTTACAAACCGATTAAAAGGAATTTTTGATAACCTAAATTTAACCTTAAATTTGATATAATTTGATGATATTTTGTATGTAAAAATTATATTCATATTGTATAATTTGTAAGTAAATTTATAACGTTAAAAAAGATGAAATCATACAACAAAAGGCTTTTGTCTAAGGATTGTATTGCATAATATTAATTTTTAACATTCGCTAAAAAGCTTTATATGTTAATAGATAAGGTTTTTGAAAAACCAAAAAACATACTTACACTTTTTATAGTATTATTATCATATGAAGCTTTTTCTCTCCTTACACATCCCCAATCATAATCCATTTCTTTAAAAAGCTTAATACCTGCTGTGATATCTTACGAACGCATTCAATGAAAGTAGATAAGATAAAAAACCATTTTTGCATTTGAATTGTTATCAATGGCAATCTAATGATCAAAATTTTGGCAACTATTTTACATTCAAATTATTGAATCACTTGCCAGATTTGGCAGAAGCTGCCGGACAGGTTTCGTATACGTCACTTCCAAAACCGCTGGGAAATACTCTGACCAGTTACAACACACTACGTTTTCACCACAAAACTTCTTTGTCGAATGTTCCATAATTCCCAGCGTGAGGAGGTGACTCACAGATAAGAGGATCCAATTAGACCGACAATGGCCACAAGCGGTGCTAACAACATTTGTCGCCATTGATCTTCGACACACAATTATGCTGGGCTGGCCAAGGCGGTTTCACTTTTCCAACATCTCTCTCTGTCTCGTGGAACCGAAGAAAGTGGCTTAAAATTTTTCAAGGCTTTACATTAAAACTGTATTTCGTATTCTATCACTAATAGCTAAGTATTCATGTATACTCATGGTTTATATATATTTAAAGTAAAATAATGTAACTGATTTTTGATATATGTATATGTACGCTTACATGCCTAGTCAATAGAAACGTAACAAGCACGCTTTTCTGGGCAGTTAAACTGCGCCAGTGGCTGTCGCAATCTTCGCGGACAGCTTTGGTTTTAGTACAGAGTACGGAGAGTGTCAGAGCTCGGTGGCAAAGTAGATGCGCCGGTTGGGTCAGAAGTCTCCCACTGTGTGCGACACGAACTCAAACTGCCGCTCAACGCTACTCTCCACGTCCATGTCGAGGGCGTCATCGATGAAGTGCATCTCTACGTGCTCGCGGAAGGCATTAAAGGTCACCTGGCTGTTGTACACCTTGCCGCACATGGGGCAGGTCTTCTCCATGGCATCGGCTGCATCGGCCTTTATTTTCTCCTGGACGATGTTAATGCGCTGGCTGGGCGGCGTTCCATTGTGTCCATTGTGTTCGATTGGATACTGTTTGAGTTCGTTGTTGAGGCTCTCATCCGTCTCGAGACTCTTGTCGGCCATCTCCGGCTTCTTAGCAGACTTCTGGGCGCAATCTGGACAGGGCTGCCGCGCTGTTCGGAGATGAGAGAAAGGTTACATGGGAGCTACTAAGAATACGAAACAAGATGCCCTTACCAATGCGGTTCTCCAGCAAGTTGAGCGCTGAGCTCAGCTCCTGCTGCTGCTTCATTGCCTCGCGCCGCATCTCTTGCAGCCCGTCCATGCAGCGTTTGGCATCCACATTGGCATCTGGTTCAGTGGCGGGTTCCTCCACTTGCAGGTTGTACGGATAAGCCAACTCGCTATCGCCGGTTCCAAAGTCATCTAGAGCTATTTCCTCCAGACTCAGGTCTCTTAGACCATCAGATAGCATCTTGTGGCGCAGGTGCGGGTTCGGAGAGTGCTGTGTGAAGGTCTTAGATCTCACTAGGTTCTGGCTAAGGTTGGCACGCGAGTCGGGAGAGCTGGGCACCTGCTGGGCCAACTGCTGCTGTTGGTCCTTGGAGATCTGTGAGAGGCGCGACCAGAGGCGGCGATTCTCGTTCGAGACCATACCGATGTGCTCCTCCAGCTGTTCCTTCTGACGCTGCAGCTCAGACACTTGTGCGCGCAGCGAAATTACTTCACCGGTGCCAGCTACTCCGTTGCCGGTAGAAGAAGGCATGGCGGAGGCCTCCCTTAGCCGCTGGTTCTCCTCCTCCATGCCGGCCACGCGGCGCTGCAGCTGAATGCATCGTTCCTTTATCGTCTGCAGGGCCACTTGCAGTGCGTAGTTCATCTTGTCACTGGATGCATTGGAGTTGGTGGATACTGAGCTGGCCGAGGCCGTGGTTTTAGCAGCGGTTGCCTCCATTGCGAGTCACCTGCGGGGGCAGGATCTTTGCATCCGAATTCTGGGCCAGGTGAAGTCAAAAGAAAATGTTTTTTTTTTTGAAAATTTCGTTTGATTTCCTTTTTTGTTGCGTTCTCATTCGTGTGACTGTGCGTGGAACTCCAAAGAATACTAAAATACGTGACGATAGTTTACGTCTTTGTGGACTTAGCAGTATTTTTATTACGTTATTACCGTCTATCGTTACGTTGTTGTGCATTGTGACCAGCTTACTTCACCGAACAGCTGTTTTTGTTTACGCGGCTTATTATCCAACACATTTCTCAATGTTTTACGGCAAAAGTTTAATAAATTTCTACAAATATAAGAGAAAAGTATGGCAGAAAGTATGGCCCATTATAAAGCGCTGCAATGCCACCTACCACCCACCAAAAATTCTCTTCTTTGGCACAGACAACTTTTCCCTGCCCAGCTTGCAGGCGCTTCATAAGAATTACAGGTACATAAGCTCTTTGTAATTAGTGAACTATATAAAAGATTATTAAATATTCTTTAACCTAGTAACCGCCTGGGTGTGGTGACCTCCTTCAAGAGTCCTGCCAACTGTGTGAGGAGCTATGCAGAGCGGGAAAAATTGCCGCTTCAGAGATGGCCCATAGATGCCTCTGTATGTTCCAATTACGACCTGGGAGTTGTGGTCTCGTTTGGTCACCTGATACCTGCCCACATTATTAATGGATTTCCCGCGGGAATGATCAATGTTCATGCCAGTCTCTTGCCTCGATGGCGAGGAGCTGCTCCCATTATCTATGCAATTATGAGGGGTGATGCCAGCACCGGAGTTTCCATCATGAAAATCGAACCACATAGGTTTGATATTGGTGCTGTAAGTTAATTGTTAAATAATACATAGATTAAATAATATACAATGATTATATTTTAGGTTCTTGCTCAGCAGGAGGTGGCCATTAAACCTGACGTTTTCATGCCGGAGTTGCACGCTTCTTTGGCTTTATTAGGAGCTGATTTACTGGTGGATACTATCAACAGTTTGTCTCAAAGACTAAAAGAAGCAAGGCACCAGGATAATGCAGCTGCCAGTTATGGTAAAACATCTCAAAAAATTAAATAGATCATGTTTTAATCACGGTATCCCTTAGCTCCCAAAATAACAACAAAAATCACCGAGATAAACTGGTCCGAGCTGTCTGCCTCTGATATATACCGCCGGCACAGAGCTTTATATGGTTACAAACCCCTTACCACAACCTTTCTGGATAAACAAGTCCAGCTTTTGGAAATCCGGCTACCTGAAGAACCATCTCCCATCCTAAAGCCCGGCCATTTTAGCTTCCAACGCAAGCGGAAATCCCTCTTAATAGGATGCGCTCAGGAGAGTCAGTTAGAAGTGCTGCAGTTACGCGTGGAAGGTAGAAAAATCATGAGTGCCCAGGACTTTAACAACGGATTTCTGAAGCAGACCAAGTCCTTGCAATTTACAGATAGTAAAATAGTAGCATGTTGATAACAAAATGGTAGTTTTAATGCAGAATTATAGCTAAGAACCTAGGCCAAGTCGGATGGTTTGACCTCTTTGGTTTCGGACAGCTGCTGCGTGGATTTCTGTAGCAGATTCTTAGTGAACCACATGGGACGAGGCTTTTTCATCTCAACAACGCGCTTGCCCTTCAGCTCCTCGGCAGACTGCTCGGCTTTCTCTCCCTCGTAAAGAACGATTACCTCCTTGTCGACGGGATCTAAGCCCAGATTCTCCTGGATTTTCTCTTGCATGAGCTCAGTTTCCTTTAGGACTTTCTGGTAGCAGAACGCTGAGGGTTGGATATTGATTAATTCATTGCATTAGTCTGCATTGCACAAGGAACCTACGACACAGCACTCCCAGTTCGTGGTCGTGTCCACATTGCAGGCACGAGCGAATGTTTCGCTTCTCCCTCAAAGGCTTCCATACGTATTCAGGGTATCCAAACTTCCGCTTCAGTCGCTTCTCCACGGATCTCCTGTGCTTGGGTACGGCCCAGAAGATACCATCACCAATAACCTGCTTCAGGCTGAATTCCTGGGAGGATTTCTGGCCGGAGATGCCGCTGTGCTCGTGTTGGAAACCGGCCAAAGCCAGCGCTGCAGGCAAAACGTACTTAATAAGATGAATTTTAGGAGAGTAATCCAATTATCCACCTGGGGGATGTCCTCCATGTGGCAGGAACAGGCGCTCAACGTTCCTTATAAAGTTTGTAATTGATAAAAACAAATTTCTCGACATTTTACGGCCAATTGTGCTGGATTTACGTAAACGTGATTAGGGATGGACAAAATTCAACAGCAATGCTATCGATATATGGCAACATAATCAAGGGAAAACCGTAAGCACTTCATAAATATTTATGGTAATATGCAAAAAACGATTGTTGTTATTACTGTTATTAATTTAGAATAAAATCTTGTTTTATAATTAAAGTTTTAATTTTATAAAATCGGAAAGGAAAATTCATATCTTCCGCTGTATTACGAACCCCACTTCTAATATTACGTTGCGTACCAGTCGCCTTACGTCACCACGCACGTTGCAAGCGATATTATTCGTGAGAGCGGTCAACAGCTGGTTCATCAGCTGTTCCACACTGTTACGTCAAAATAAAGTAGTGAAAAGGTGCAAATTCCCAACGAGTTAAATAAAAACTATTTCCGAGTCCGGAAAACGCGTTGCAAGTGGCATCATCGAGTGGCCAAGTGTATGTGGAACATGAGGACACTGACGGCGGCCGAGACGTAGTGGCTGTCAGGCAGAGTGGAGCTGTCCTTATCAGCAGAGTGGAGCAAGGGCAAAGCGAAAAGAGCGGATAGTGTGCGTTGGCCACAGGTCCGCGGGGTCACACATTGCCCCCGCCTCCACTCAACGTCAAGTTCAAGCGGCGTTCGGCTCGGATTTCGAAGTGGGGAATCGGCCTGTATCTTCGGCTTTCCTTAACCACCACAGCTCACCTGGGCTGGGAATACCTACCACACCTGGCGGCGCGCACGCGCGCATCGTTTAAAAAAAAAGTTGGCTGGCAAAAACACTTCGTTGGAGCTGTTGGAGCCAGACGCAAGCAAACCGCGCTTCGCCTCGAAACCGCCTGTGGAAAACAACCCCAAAGTCAGACCGAAATCGCCGCGCTTTTCAAAATCGCAGATCCTGCGACTCATAAAAAAAGCAAAAATATTAAGGAAACCAATAAATATCAAGGAATAATGCCGCTTACTATTCAATGAGTGACTCGTCCTGAATTCTGTGTAAAAAAGCACTGGCCTACTCTGCCCGAAAACCTACGAAAATTATTGAAAAATAGTAACAAACCTAACAAAATATTAAAATAAATCAAAAATGGCCTGCTTGAGCACTTCCGGTCGCGTTGTGTGCGGTTCTCGTCGCCAGCAGACGCACAAGCTGCTGTATCAGCTCTTCGGCACCAGTTCGAGCTCCGTTTCCGGTTCCGGTGTCGGTTCGCGTCCAGGATATGCGGGGAATCCCCATTCCGGCTTGACCCAGCCCAAGACACAGCTGCAGGCCCAGCGATTATTTCACGGATTAAGCTTTAACATCGGCAAGGATTACCCCGATCTGCTGGTAAGTTCATTGCCAGCTCGAACCCGAACCTGGCCAAGAGTGCATTGGCTGCTGTTGCTGCTGCTGCTGCGCATGCGCCAAGTGTTTGCCGCTAATGCGTCTGCGTGACTTTGGCTTTTGCCAGTCTCGCTTTTCATTCGTTTTCTTGCATTTTCTTTGCTGCAAAGCCAAAAAGAAAATGAAAGTGAAATTGGTCGCTGGCTTTTTGTGCAAGTAGCGTGAAACCGAAGAGTGGAAAAGAGAAAAACAAACCAAAGGCCGAAGCCAAAACCGAAGAAAACACAACTTGTTGCGCCCACAGTCGCAGATAGCAAAATTCGCGCAAAAATCGCGATAGTATGTTGTTGGCGGAAGCTGCCGCCGCGTTTATAGTATTTATTATTGTGCTTCGGTCTTTATTTTTTGTTGTTATTTTCCCGAACATTTATGTTTTTCCTCGCATATTTGCAAGGTGAAGTTTTTTATCGGTGACTCTCTTTCTGGTCTGTCCGCTTGCAGTTTGTCATTAGTTTTTACATTGTTGACAAGTCTGTGAATGATTTTCTTCCTCTGACTTTTTTCACTTCTTTCTTTTGTTATGCAATTTCGCATAGTTATTTTCTCGATGATTTATTGCCTGTATTTATCAATATTTATAGCCTGCAAAGCGCACAGCTGATTTCGAGCAGTGCCTGTAAAACTGTGACCTGCGCCGTATACGCAATATCCGGCACTTTGATTTCAAGTGGCTTTTTCGCGGGGTTCTATTCAAACATAGCAATTTGTGTTTTGTTATCAGACAGCAAAATGCTATCAGTAATTTCGTGATTTTGTTTTCTATAACATCATAACAATTGTAATCTCTCAGCCATCTGGTATTTAAGTCTATGAATGACGCGCCTAGAGCAATGAATCGTACCGAAAGGGTCGTAAATAACTCGGAAACCTATATTATTCACAAAACTATTACTCAAAAGCTAAGCTATATATTTCTTGGGTAAAATATGTGGAGGTTATGTTCTGGGAGCCTTAATTGTTCTATTGCTAAAATCAAAAGGCAATCCCGGCTATTGTCTTTAAATGCAATTGGCCAAATCGAAACCATTCAACCACTTGCCTTCAATTTAATAGCTTACTTACCGCCTTGAGTGTGTGTAGGCCACCATTAATGCATAGGCTTCTCTCACATTTGTTTTTAGTTAATTGTTTTATAGCACGCCACTTAAGTCAGCCAGCCTATTTAGTGGCTTTGATTTAATGGATTTAGCATTGCAAGTGCAATAAATTGAATGCAGTTTGCTGGCCATTATTCAATGGCTTCGATGGTAAACGTACATAACCCCCCAAACCTTGACATATAGTTGTGCCGTTTTTTTCTGATAAACATATGTGTCTGAAAAAAAAGGTTAAAAGCTCATTAATTCACATTTAATGCACACCTTTGACACTCACCACAGGCGGCCTTGATCCGAAAAGTTACTACACACCTTTTTTTCACTGGAAAGATGTACATTTTAGTCTACAAATAATTAAATTACTTCATTGTAAATAATAGGATGTTTTTACCATAAATTCTTCTTGTGACTCCATATTTTTCTCTAAACATCTATAAATCCTTTCGAATATTATATAGATTTTATTTTACATAAATTTTCCTTTTCATTATCATATATAAATCCTTTTTAAAAATATATAAAAATAGTTACAGGTTATGTTGTTAAATAATCCCATAACGTAACACTCATTCAAATTAAAATAAATGCATTTCTCGGCTCCTACAAAAGCTTGGAAAAAGTGAAATATTTTGTATGCAGCTGTTGTTATCAAGTTATTTATGCATTTCGGCTGTTTAAGACTCTGTCTGTTTCATTTTCGAAGCCGAATAAAAATTCATTCGACGCCAAATTGGTTTTATGCCCAACTCACATCCACACACCGCTCAAAACTGGACAAAAGCAAGCACCTGGAAACTGATACGTTCATCTATCATAGGTAAACAATAAACAAAACGCAAATAGAAAGCGCACGTCGCAGCGGCAGAGCAGCTGGCAGCGCTTGCTGCTGCTGTCCAAAAAAAAGAAGAAAATATACAAAAAAATAAAATAAATAAAAAACTAAAGAAAAAAAACGCCAACTAATAATAGTCGGCAATAGCAGAAGCAACAACAAAATCAAGCGGTGAGCCAGCCGCAGCCATAGAAGAAATTCACTTTTAACGGTTTCTTTGACTTTCTTCTTCATTTCATTTGCCAAGCTCCCCCGCCCCTCGACCAACCATTGTTTTGGCCAAAAGAAACCAGCCAAAAAATACAAAAACTACAAAACAAGTAAAGAAAAATAAAAGTTTAAAGTCTTTATCTATGCGCCACACGAATTTGGCAACAAACTGATTGGCCAGCTTTGCGTATTTTAGTATTCCTTATCGCCGGTCAGTACATCTTTGACTCGAATTAGTTTCCAAATCATTTTCGTCTACAAATCTCTTCCGCATTTGCCCCTCCTCTGGTTGTGTTTATAAACTTTTCACTTTCATTGTAAATGCGTGAAATAAAACCGAGTTTGGTTAAGCTTTAGCCGGGCCAAGAGTTTTAACGCCAGCGTGTGAATTTGATGGGTTCATAGTCCCAAGGTGGCGATTTTTTTTTTAATTAGATTAAAGATTAGAGAGTAGAGAGATTGAAGTACAGTTAGATGTTTCTCTGAGCTAAACTTGATTGATTTCCGTCGATTCTCTGGCTGTTTTTTTATATATATTTTTATGTGTGTGTGTGATTAATTTGAATGCGAGGGTTTGGTCGCGTGAAAGTGAAACCAAATCTTGACCTGTTTTCATTGAAATTTTATTTTAGAAATTTTTGAGCACGCTTGAGTTTAAATCTGAGAGACTATTTTAAATATTTTTAAATTCTTTTAATATTAAAATACTCTTATTACAAAAATTATAGGTGATTGTCGAAAAAATTAAATGTGTAAGAAATGCCTGCAATAAATCCTCAACTAAAAAGATTATCTTATACATTTATATGTATAAAAAGGGAGCTTCAAATATTTTTTTTCATATATATTATAATACATATATAAAAATAATTACTTTTCCAATTACTTATTTTTTAAGAAAAGGTCCCAATAATTATAATATAATATTTTATCTATCTTTGGGAAGCTTAAATGTATAATTTAATTGCATTTTGCACTTTCAAACTTTAACTAAACTAAGCCAAAAAATCATATATTTTAAATCGGAAAGCATTCCTATGTTAGTTTTTATTATGTTAATAAATCTGCGTACTCAATTTAAAATTAAAAAAAAAAATAAAATTTTGCGCCTTTTTAGGGGGAATTTTAACGATGTAACCCCCTATAAAATTTTTTAAATTAAAAAAAATTAAATTTTTGCCGGACATAGCTAGATCGATTTGGCTTTTGATGCTGATCAAGAGTATATATGTATGGTTTATAGGGTCGGAAATGACTTCTTCACACCGTAATCAGCTTCAGAAAAAGTATAGGATCCTGTAAAGATAATAGTTTTGCTTCAAACTTAAGCAAACTTTAAGTTCTTTTACTGAAAGTAACTTAAAATATAAAAAATAATCATTATAATGATTAAAATCCCTCGTTACAGTTGTCTTAAAAGTGTGTTTAACAATCACATCCTCACATCTTTTTCCCTCAACCTCTTTGTGAGAAAGCCATCAGGTTAGGCATAAATATGTGAAAAAACATAAGAGACACGAAAAAAGTGGCAGATATGCTAAAAGATACATCTGACATATGCACAAGATGCTCATATCGTAAATCGTTGTCTTTGTGACTGTATCTTTATTTCTGCAAAACACTTTCACTCGTAACTGACCCACAGATTGACCAGCAAACCGACCCCCTCCAGAACGTGTAATTCTCCGACGGTTGGATATTATTATAATTTATTTTTAATATGCAATCGCTTATGGTTTAATTGGTTAAGAGCGGGGGAAGAGGACGGAGCTTTGGCTATGGCAACGAAACCGAAATTGGTTGTGGGCATGCCTAAGCGGATTGGGTTGACTTTCATTCAACCTGTCTTACACCTGCAATGGTCTCTTTGATCGCTTGCTGCTGGTGCCTTTACCTTTGGCTTTGGTATTTTTCGGCCCGTACTTGCTGACCCAATTCCAGAAAGACGCATGCGTTTTGGTGTTGTCCTAAACTGGTTTGCGGGTTCGGTTTTCGGTTTCGGTGGTTTCTGCTGCCGCCGCGCCAAGACTGTTAACTGTTAATGATTTCAGCGTTGTTTTCCTTAACAACAAATTTTCGGATTTCGATTTGAAAGACCCCAAAAGAAGCGCCGCCATCGAGCGTTGTTGGTACGAGTTTAGTTTTGACCAAGTTGCGCAACCCGATGGCCGGCCCAAAATTCCCAAAGCCATATATGGGCTGTCAAGCCCACATTTCATCAATGTCGCTCATGTTGGTCCATTGGTCCACTTGCCTGCCCTTTGGGCGTTTTACATTTTCAATGTTTTATCAGTGATTATCATAAATTTGACTATCTGCGATGCAAAGGGAATTCATTTCTCACACTGATTGGACCGCTTGTTATTTTTTGAACTTGCATTCTGAGAGTTTCCATTATCATCGTTAGTTTGTCCCAGGGTTTCCACCAAATTAACATGGAAATTTGCTTTTTAATAGTCTTAATGTTTCGAAATTCAGGGCCTAAATATCAATAACAACAAATTAGACGGTGTGAGCCTTAAATTTGGAAGCATGCCTTGCACTTTGCATTTTACGAATTCAAAATTTTGTGTTTTATTTTTTTTTCCTGTCTGCGCGCGCGCTTGTTTTATGTAATTTTTTGACTATTGGCGACTTGGTTGATTTACAGCCAATGTCCCCCCTTTCCGAAAGCCAGTCAATGCAGGATAAACTTGAATTTTCAGGTTTTCCACTAATAACTGGTTTCCAATTTGTCTGCAAAAACATTTCACAGTTTTAGTTTTCCTTTTTCTACCTTAATATTTTGGTAACATTTTACTTTGTCTAGCCTTTAGACAAATTGTTATAATTACCAAATAGTGTAAACCACCCAATATTTTGCTTAATAAAAATTATTTTCATAGTTTTTTTTTTGCGGCCTCTTGCAAGTTGAAGCGTTTAAAAACGCATTCGCTTTCGTACGTTTTGCTAGCGTTTAGAAACGCGTCTGCGTTTTAAGTCGCCTACATAGACTAATATCACGCAGCCGCCGCGTTGGTTCAAGCACGCACTAATTTCAATTGTAAATCGCTTTTGGGTTGCGCAATATCCAAAGTGACGGTGGAATGCCATGTGATTCAATTGCAGATATATGATTGCGGAAAGTAGTTGGTGAAACTCGATCGGAAATCAAGTTTATAGCACTTAATAAATGAAAAATCACATTGAATCCATTTTTGGGGATGTCAGCTCATTAGTTTTTGTTTGGGGATATCCCCCAGAGAGGTTGTTAAGAGATTTATATATACGTTTTTATAAGGCAAATGAACTCTAACTGAAACCCCAAACTATAATTTACCCATTTTATTAGTTTAAACTCCACTGAAATTTCTGAAACTTTAAGAACCCATTTCCGGAACTGCATTGGTACGTGGCTAACTAATCTTCCAGTGATTTGCGAACCTCAATTGGTCAATCGATTGCAGTTGTCATAGTCTCGGATGGGGGCTTAATTTCGACGCAATGAAACCGTGACGCATTGAGCATTCGCAATGGAGACATTAGCAAATAAAGTGGATACATTATGTTCGGCTTTTCCAGCTAATTTATGTGTGCTGTGTGTACTGTGTTGCCCCCCCAGAAGCGTTCTCAGTGGCACAAGGCACAGCAATGCTTTGTCAAATACAAATTGCCCAGTTTTCAGGCAAACACACACCACACACACACTTGGCACTTGGCATTCACACTCACTTCAAACCGCTGAGATGTTAACACGCATGTAAACCACTTGCTGCCAGCAGGCATTGCGGCTAATGAAGAAGCTACGAAAATCGAACGGCAAAAGCATGTTTAAATATATATGTATGTATGTATATATAAAATATGCAGCCAATAGAGGGGGGTAGGGCTACGTTCGGTTACTTTGGTTATGTCAGCCAACAAAGCAGGCAATGGCCAAAACAACCGCAGCGATGACAAAAAGGGAAAGTATAAGTCCAAAGCCTCGTCTTCGGACTCCGATACGTTTTGTGGCCCTCAAAGAGCCAAAGAGAGGCGGTTGTTGCTACTTTCTTGAATGTTTCACTGTCTCCGGTTTTGGCCAATACTACCTTGCTGCTATGTGTTCGAGCCGTCGCTTCCGCTACCAAGGCCCGTCATTTTCGATCAAAAGGCAGCAAGAGAGGCATTTCTTTTTTGGCCAGCAAAGAAGCAATTAAAATTTTTTGTTCGTTAAAGGTATTTTAGAGCGATGATTCAGCTGGGAGTTCACATACCAGAATTTTATCCTTTTCTTACAGTAATCTGTATATAATTACTATAAACAATTTATGAGTTCAGCCTTCCGCAAAGCACTTAATAAACGACTCAAAAGTTCTGTTTCTCCATGCAGCCTAAGCATTAATTTGTTAACTTGATTGCTATAATTGAATAATTTTTAGCATGTTTAGCTTTTAAATCGCAGGTGTTAACAGTTTTCGTACTTATGCCCGACCTCCATAGCAAAATAGCAACATGCAAAGGCAATTGTCTGTTGTTCACATATCGCTTATGATATACCGCACCATATGCCGCATACAAATTGCCTTAAAAAAGGCGAGCGAAACAAGAGCAGAAATCATAACAATGCGGCTGCGGATCGACACAATATACTATAGTAACTGAGTCGTAAGGCAATCAATAACACACAAATGCTAAAAAAAAATGTTGCAATTCGCTGATTGTTAAAGCCTTCAATCAAAGCTGACATCAATCAGTGCGAGGCACTCGAAATGCTGGCTAAATACTTTCATCGTTTCATGTCTTCATCTTGAACTGAGGCCGCGCCATCAATGGACACCAGAGTGGGATGGAATGGGATGGGTTTTTGCGGCTGAAGAGGATTATGTCGTGGGAGCGCCCTGTGGCGAACAAAATGCCACCTCTATTTGATTTGATATTCGTTACTTTTCGTTTTGTTTTTTTACTTTGCACTTGTCTCCTCAATTTGCAAACATAAAAACGCTGTTAAATGCTGCAATTGCTTTGATCACTACGAGCACCGCCTATTTTGTGCAATTTTGTTCACAAATTAAATTAATGAGTGCAAGAAATGCGAGTATTTAAATGAAAATTGGCAGAGGTGCCGCTAAACAAATAAAAGATAATTATTTCGGGGGCATTGTTGCTCCGCCGCGGCAAAAGATCATTATTATTATTATTATTATTTCTTCTTTTTGAATCGATGTGAAAGTTGGCTTGCCAATTGTTGCGGCTCCTCTTTTGTGGAGTGTGTGGAGGTTGCCAAAGGAGGTTTAACTGGATATCTTTGGTTGGCTTTTGAGTCAGGTTAAGTGCGATTTAAACTTATCAACTGATTGGAGGCAATCTTAAGAGGAGTGTTGGGGAAAAGAAACGCAAATCTTGATTCAAAATATAGCAGAAACAGAAACTGAAACGCTTTAAGGTTAATTCAGTTGATATGAAAATTATAATACAATATTATTTCCTGCCTTTATTTAATCCATATATTTAATGAGCCATTAATTAGGAGTACTCCTCCATTGTATTTGCATATTTTTCCCCTATATACACCCTCGACTTTCTAGATTTTTCCTTATTTCTTTGCTCGGTTATAAAAGCAGCCGCATTGTAAACAAAATAAAAAGAGTGATTGAAAGTCCTCGGTTCATCTTCGGCAGCCAAGTGCAACGGCTAAGAGTGTACTTCCTATGTATTTTACTTACTTTTTAATGCCTCTGTTTTTTGGCTTTGTGCACGCAACAAGCCCATAATCCTCAACTTTAATTTGCAAAAATATTTTCAGTCAAGATGCGATGCTTGGCCAGAATGCAGGGCAGAGCATTGACCTGGCTTTAAAGAGAGCACATTAGCAGGTTCATGGGGTTTAGAGACACTTAAAATCCGTTCGGCTTTCGTGGGCACCTGCTGACGTTAGATTGTCTTAACTTGGCTTGCCGTAAAAACCATTTAACAGTGCTTAAGAGTCTGACGGCGTATGTGGCCAACTCGAAATAGCCACAATTAAATGCATTTCTGCACGTTCCACAAATTTCTGTTTCTTTCATTCACTTTTTTTTTCTTTATTTTTTGGCTTTTGCAAATATTATCATATCAACGGTGACGGTGGCCAGCTGATGGCACTAATTTTAATTTGGCGCACATATTGAAAATGAAAGTTTCCACGACTCGAATTTAATTGGATTTCTTCCGGCTGCTGCTGCTGCTGCTGCTGGCATTTTGCTGTTGTAATTGTGATGCCTCGGATTTTGTAATAAGCCATGGCTCGCTTTCTACTCGCCAAAAGCCAAAGGCCCCCCCTATGCCTTACCTTGCCGATGTTTATGACACATATTAAATATGAAACTGGGTCATTACAAGCTCTTTTCAATGGGAACTCTGGCTCTCTGACCAACAATTTGTTTGGTTATTTTACGATGCTTAACCAGTTTGGACAATCAAAAGGCCCCACACGTGTGGGTCAAATTAAAGACGATGATATTGACGATCTTCAATGATGATGGTGTTCGCTGCAGAAGCTCAGTTACCAAGGGCGTTGTTACGGCCATTGACTGTTTGAGACTCTTCCAGGATCTCGTAAGCAAGTGGGTCAATATCCACAATCCACTCCCAATGTGTAATCATAGCTAAATATTTGAAATCGCAGCCACTGCTGACAACTGGCAACATCGAATTTACATGTTATCGTATCGTGTGCGGCTTTTATTGACAGTCTGAGTGGTTGACTGGTTGACTAGCTGACGGCTTGACTGGCTGACAGGCTGCACAAGAAGCAAACAAATGCGATTGCATAATTGCACATAAAAGTGCCTCTGAAAAATAAAAGCCAATACAAGTCCGGATTTGAACGGAAAGGCGAGGCACATTTCCTGCAGTGAAAGAAAATGTTGGAAAATTATTTCCAAATTTATTTTATAATTATTTGATCAGCAATTGAATTGTACATCGAGGGGATAATAAGTTTTAAATAACTAACACAGAAAAGATTTCAGATAGGCAAATTAGAGAATTTTTGACAGAGTTTTGATGGTTTTTCACTTCAAGAGGGTTTTCGAAGTTAGGGAAACTTTCTTGTCATATATAAATTTATCAAAAACTCTGGTTTTTTATTCATTGCCAAATTAAAACTCAATCAGGAGCATATTTTTTTGACGAGTGCCGCAACATGTTGCCTGGCAATTTAGCCGCGCGTGTTGCTCTCTTTTGTGTCGCTTTGTTTTGTGGACATAACAAAAGGATTTTGCGGCTACGACAATTCAAATTCAACGACAAGGTCAAGAGTCGCGCGAGAGCGTCGACAATCGACTTCAATTAGTTGGCCATTTACTGTGGTTACAACCGCACGGCCACTGCAATTTTCCAGTTATTAATTTTCGGCAACTTTCAGGCTGAAAATCCAACGGCGTGCAAGGCGAAACTCGTTAGGCGTGGCAGCGCCCGCAATTGAAAGTTGTTAAGTGACTTGTATGCCCCTCCATTATTCACACTTTGTTATTAATTGCAGCATTTACCTGAAATCGCTAACCGTGGTTCTACCTGTTCTCTTTTTGATATCTCCCCAATTTTCCAGCAAAGTTCGCACAGCTGCAGCCACAGCCTCAAGTACTCGCAGTGCTCCAAGACGAATCTCCGCCAGCATAGTTCCGTGCACACACAGCAGCCGGCGGGTCCTGTCCGGGAGTTCCAGATCGATCCATATATCATACTCGATGATGACCTCAAGTACTTTTACGATGACGTGAGATATGTAAGTGGGAGGTGATTGGGGGGTATTTTGCAGAGAAATATTATCGTTTGGGTTCACTTAGTCGAGAAAATTGAATGGAAGGGAAATGTCTATCATAAATAAGATGTTAAGGAAACCAATAAGGGTATTGGTTATCTCAATAAATCGTTGGTTATGGAAGTACATACGTGCTAAGCATTTGTATATGAATACTCTTTCTTTAAATTCAATTAAAAAATAGAGTATGCTTTCAAAGTAATTCTCTCTAATTTATTAAAATAAATAAGTCGCGAGGTAAGGCAGAATTTATTACAATAAGTTCATTAAAATGTCTGGAACTAAAACTCTCATTTAAAAGCAAGTTCTTCCATACATTTTCAGACTAGTTAATGTCAGGTATCTGTTTCACTTTTTATGTACCTTCATATATCTTTAAAACAGCAGTAAAAAGCGCAGTAATTGTTTCCCTGACAGATCTTTAATAAAACAAAATTTTACACTCTATAAAAATGAATAACAGGCCTAAGTAGCTCATAAACAAATTATTTAAAACCACAAAGATTAATAACGCATATAAAGTTTTGTGAGAAATTCCATTCACATCTTGTTGGGGACGTCATTGATTATATGGTTATTTTCCTCAAACCCAGCTGGAGGGGATTTTTTTATCTCGCAACCAGAACACAAATATTTGCTAATTTAGGCCAAAGTCTAGAATTTAGAAGGTGTGACTAATTTCTCTTTTGTGTATTCCATATTATTATTGTGTAGCTGCTAAAATCGGGGACATCGCAACCGGAGTTGGACACTATTGCCAGTTATTACTTTGATGGCCAAGGAAAGGCGCTGCGACCCATGGTCACCATGCTAATGGCCAAGGCGATAAACTATCATCTGAATAACGAGTCACAGTAAGTTTTTGTTTAAGTTTAAAAGGGATTTAGTGCAAAAAGAAAACATTAAAAACACTTAATACACAAAGAAATATAAATTTTTAACTCGGCCAATGTGTAGACATTAACTATAGTTTGATTATCAACCAAGTATGAATTCTAAATTTATTTAAATACATTGTATAGACTTTCATATTATCTATTTGAAATGTATGCTCTATTTTAAAATAATAACCTAACATATTTTCCTATGATCATTCTGTGTGTTTGCCCTGTTGCCGAGTGTAAATGATTAGCATGGCTTTGCGAAATGTTCGCATTTCAGTCATTTTAGATTAATGCACGGTCTCAGTGTAGGTTTTGCCCCACCAAAACTACTAAATCTCTAAAATCATATTTTTTCTATCGCCTTGACAGCCAATTAGTACACAAACAACGACAGATCGCCCTCTTCTCGGAGATGGTTCACTCGGCCAGTTTAGTGCACGACGATGTCATCGATCAGTCGGACTTCCGACGCGGCAAGCCCAGTGTTAATGCTCTATGGAATCATAAAAAGGTAAGTACCATTCGGAATCCGAATCCGAATCCGAAGGAGATCCGTGATGATATTAGGCATCGGTGCCATCGATGTTTGTTGAAGCCAAACAAACCAAGCCAAACACGCGCCCAGTTAGAGTCTCTTCGCAACCAAAGCAGCAATCAAGCTGGCAGCAGCAATCATCAATCCCAACTCCCAGCAGACCTCTGACTTTGACATCAATTTGTTGCGTATTTCGATTCACAGTGTTTATTGACTTTGTCAACAGGTATCTTGCATCACTCGAAAGGCCTCAAATCGGATGGCGATGCTGATGCTGATGCCTCTTCATTAAACTTAATAATAGACCAGACGAAAAATCCCACATATAGCGATCTCAATGCAGTTTCCCTTTCGACATGTCTTCAAATTGAAATGCATAAATTAATTTTTGATTTCGTTTATCATCAGCTTCACAAGTCGAGGAAGCGTCAAAAGAGGCCGAAGCCCGAAGACCGTTAATATTAAAGTCTTTTTCTTTGATTGTCTTGAAGCTGGTCTTAGTCATGCCAGTTAATCTGTGGTTGTTTTGTCTTTGCCAATAGCTGTTAACTGTTGCAACATATAACTGTACTCCTTTGTAGCCGCTATTTTATTTTCTGACCATGTTTTAACATCGTCTTTGCAGGTCACAATGGCTGGTGATTACATCTTATCGATTGCCTCGATTATGATTGCACGTCTGCGCAGTGATGATGTTACGATTGTACTGAGTCAGGTAAGCATACATTAATACATTCTCTTAAAAGGATATGACTAAGAAGTGGCCTAAATTCTGGCAAGATATGTGTAAGATTTATTGACTTAAGCTGGGGAAAAATTAAAATTAAAAATAAACAGATACAGAAAAAACAGGCATATGCTTTTTAAGATAGCTCTTAAAGTGAGTTTCAATTTTAAAAATGATATTCTTCGCTTACCTTTCTCCAACTAGGATCAATCTCAACTAAATTTTAAACTTTAAAACCCAACCCCATAGTTTTTGCAATCGCTACCAAATAAAATAAAATAGAAAACCAAACATTTCAATGTTGCCAAGTACCTTCTCGCACATTTTATGCTGCCAGTTAATTGGTAAAGTAAACGCAAATAAGTCACAACTGTTTGCCAAACTCATTCAGCAAAAGGGGAAGGCTGTTGCCACCAAGAATCAGTCACTTAAAAAAGTCCCGGATTCAGATGAATTATCTCTGTGTCTCTGTAAATATGTATATATAATGTATATATTTTTATGAATGTACGTAATCAGATCGGGTGCCAAATTTCATACAATTGTTGGGCAAACAGAAGGGAATCTTTGTCTTTCCTGAAATTATGAAAGTTGCTCATTCTGTTTCGTGGCCAACTTTGGGTTTTTTGGGGGAACTGAAAACTTCTCCCCCTCACCTGCCGAAAGCCAAAAACCAGTCGTAATTTAACTTCCTGCGTCCCTGGGAATCGTCCAAGGTTCGCCCTTCGCCAGAGTTCGTAAAACTTTGCAACAACGTCGGCATTCACTTTTAATGTTTCGATGTTCCGATGTTTTTTTATTGCATTTCTGCATCTGCGTCCTTGCAATTGCAGTTACTGTGGCAGTGCAGCCAATTAGTTTTCTTTCCGGTCAGATATGTCTTGTTAAGGCGTTGAAAATTCAAGGAAACAGGTCTGTCTTACTTAATTACCATTGAATTAATGTGTTTTATATTAATTTTCTGAAAAATAAAAGACTGCACTGTTCTGTCTAAATTCAGGGCATCAAACAGGTTAAGGTGTGAAAACATTGCTTACTTTTTAGCGTCCCAATATTTTTCTCTAGGTGAATTTTAAACGCTTCATAAACATTGTTATATTTAAGTGAATTTTGTTCAAATTTTGTGTCTAGAATTTAGAAAATTTAAAAAAATAGTTATAAAAAAGAAGCAAAGTAAAACTAAGAATAAATCATAATATTTTATGACTTTAAAAGTAAAAGAAGTTCACCATCATTAGATGTCCTTTTTATACCCCCCTTTTTATTGACATCACTGCTGTGATTGTGCCTTGAAATTCCGCAGAAATATTTCATCGCTTAGTGCGATGCATCACGTAGTTTCTATAAATTTGAAATTAGTCACACCTGCCAATTTCACTTTCGATGGTGGGGCACGAGAGTGAAACTAGATCTGCTTGTTGCCTTGGAAACGAAGGTGTCTCGGGGATCTCTCTTTCTTTCTTGGGACCGCAGCAGCAGCCACATCTCTTCTCTGCATATTTACACAATCGAGCGCGGCAAAGTTAATAGCCAAAGCAAACACAATAAACTTGCCTACGTTTTTGGGTTACACATTCTCCGTCTCGATGCGATGATGGGTTTTCTCAATTCGCAAAACATGCGTAACACCTGAGGATTGGCTTCAAGATAAATTCAAAATCCAAAAGGTGCGGCCCCAGACACTTATCTAGTTTTTATTTGTCCATTTCATTTGGCCATGATTATCGGGACCCGTGTATCTAATGCATAATTTGGCTCATTAGCATTCGAGACATTTTGACCCCATCAAAATGAAACTTTCTTTACGGCCATGAGGTCATGACATATACAGAAACTATTAAAAAACTAGTTCTGGCTATCTGATATTTATTCAAAATCTCCCCAAAGCAGTGAAGTATACAAAACAAAGGCTTGTAGATTTGGTTTTGCTTAATCTTTGTCTTTGATTTCGTTTTTAAAAAACGCATGTAGAAATGTAGCATGATATTAGGAGGCATTTATCTTGTATATCATTTCTTATATCACTTTTCTACGGAACTACAAAGAGTGAACTAGAAAATCAGCTAAGCCTAATAACTAATTTTATTAAATCAGTATTAAATAACGACTTAGAATCTATGGTGTGAGATCTTTGTTATTTCTTATAGAAGTCTTTTAGCATGTTTCTTTTCATCTAACACAATCTCCAAGCTTCAGCATATATTTATCAGATTTTTTTGTGTGTTAAATATTCCCCACACGTGTCTGAATAATTTCAACAGCTTCTAAGACATTGGTTGGCATTCATAAAATGTGTAGAATGTCCGCTTGCCTTTCAATCAAGCATATTTATGACTATCTGTGAGTTTTGGGTTAAACCAGACCGTTAAGACCCAGACGAAATGAGGTAATTGGTAGTAGATAAATGTAATCAAAGGAAACACGAAAGAAAAGTAATAAAGAAAGAAGAGTAATAGTTAGCCTGCAGTAAAATAAAAGCTAAAGTGTGTATTTTATTTTTGCTGTCCAAATTCCCCTTGTCGGAAGTTGGCCGCTGAAAAAGAAAATTCCCCATGTACGTGCCTTACAAAACTCGCTTCGAGGCTAACCATTTTTTTATTTCACAAAGTGCACTTGCATTTTGCGGTCGAGAAAAAATACAAAAAAAATGTTGGCCTGCAGCATTTGGTATCATTTTGGCTTCATTTCGCTGCTTAAAAGGTGGCTCTGTGTTAATTTGTTTGGCTCTAAATGCACTTGCTGGTCGTTTTTGAAGCTCACGCACTTGTCTTTGGCTGTGTGTGTATTTTTTTTTTACTGCCACTTGCTAGTTGTGTTAATTAACATTGAAAGCTGGAATTTGGCCGGGCTGTTTTGGCCAGAAACTATTGGCCAAATCACCTTGAGCTCCTTGGGATCGGATCAACGGAACGAAACGGCTCCCACACATAGGGGTTTGTGTGTATTTGCCAAAGATTTTGACAACTATCTGTGAGTTTCTTTGGCCGCCGTAATCAATGAAAATGCCTATCGAAAGCGAGTTGGCGAAGGGCGTGCCAAACAGTCTTGTGGACAAACAAACGGGCCAAAATAGCCAAAATAGTCAGGTAGCATCGGTTACCCACCCGTTCTCATATTGAGCTCTGAATGAAATCTTGTTTGCCAGATTTATTTGGCACAATTTTGTGTTTGCCATTTGTATTTGAGGCTTCACCCATGCGGAAGTTATACACTCCCTTGGGCTGTAGTAAATCGCTTTGATGGACGTTACGGATCTTGGAGAAGGATGAACCAGGCAAATATTGTTTCATATACAGCTTAGTGAATAGTATAATTATATTCTAAAGTCCTATATTTTATTTGTACTGACACAAAGAATTGCGTAATTCATTCAACTGGGAGTTGGGAAAACCCCAACAGAATAATCGTTGAAGGGGAAGTCATTGCCATTGACGTTAACATCACTAATCGCTGACATATTTATGACGCATTGTGTCTGCCATTGCCATTCTTATATCTTATATTCGTATATCTTCTGTCTGTTGCAGATTTTAACCGATTTGGTTCAAGGCGAGTTCATGCAGCTCGGCTCAAGGGAAACGGAGAATGAGCGTTTTGCGCATTACCTGACCAAGACATACAGGAAGACCGCATCACTGATTGCCAACGCACTGAAGGCGGTGAGTACTCGTTATCCACATGCAATTCCCAGCTGGAATCTTTAGTATTTCACATTTATCGGACTTAAGCTTAATTCTGCAATTAGTTTGCATGCAAGTCGATGCTATTGTGCCCATTGTTGCAATTGCTGAATTGACTTTGAACTATGGATGACCGAAATATAACCATTTATTAAACGTGTTTCGAAATTCCATAAAAGTATTAGTCATTAATGTTTAATTTAAGTCGTAACGATTTTAAATTCCCATTTTAAATCATTCTTATTCTCCTTGCAGACCGCCGTGATTGCCCAAGCAGATGACAATGTGGCCGAGGTGGCCTTCCAATATGGACGCAACATTGGCCTGGCCTTTCAGCTGGTCGACGACATGCTCGACTTTGTCTCCTCCACCGAGCAGATGGGCAAGCCAACGGCGGCGGATCTGAAACTGGGCCTGGCCACCGCCCCAGTGCTCTTTGCATGCGAAAAGGTGAGTTCTCAGACATTTCCTTATGGGAAATGCATAGAGAAAAATGCTGGGTGTGTCGGGATGTAATGAGTATTTGCTCAGATCTCCGTTCGCTTCGCATCTAAAGTGCCTTTGCACCGCCACTGTTGATGATGTGATGATGATGTATTCGTGGTGGTGGCGGCAAAGATGATGATATCATAGGTTGGGTGGGTGGTTGGACGAAAGCCCGGCCTGACAGCTGCTCGAATGCGTTTGCAACTCAATTGCCAGCGGGGCGATTAACGCCTCCGGCACTGCTAATTTCCATTTGCTATGCAGTCCGCGATCTTGGCCAGTGCCGCGTGCAATGCGTTGGCAAACAATATCCAACCACCGAACCCACCCCGACTGAGAGTTGCAGTGGCTGCATAATTGAAATACCTGAAATTTCTCATCTCTTTTGCAGTACCCCGAACTGAATCCGATGGTGATGCGACGCTTCAGCGAGCCCGGGGATGTGGAGCGTGCCTTTGAGCTGGTGCACAAGTCACATGGCCTGGAGCAGACCCGTTTCCTGGCCAAGAAGCACTGCAACGAGGCGATACGGCTGGCCCAGGAGCTGACGGAGTCGCCGTATCAGAAGGGACTGCAGGTCGTCGCCGATTTAGTCATCAATCGCATGAAGTAACACTTAACGTAATCATATTAATCGTATGCAATAATAATAATGTTATGTAGGCCACACAGTCGATGTTTCGGTTAAGTTTTGTCAGCCAGTGAGCTTGCAAGGATAACGTAAAATTGTAAACAAAAGAATTATTATTTAGTTTTTAGGCATTTGTTGTTGACACTGTAAATAATTGCATAAACAAATCAAAACGAAAAGAAAAACAAACAAAAAATCAACACAATTTACGGCTAACTACGCTGTACATACATAACTATATATATGAGATGTTTAAAGAATTTTTAACAAATTTTATATGCAATGTTTTTCGATCAATTTATTTATATATATGTTATGTATAAAGAAATATATTCGAGAAGCCAACAATAAGTAAAAATTAAAGCTGTACAAATAACTCTTCAGAATGATTCAAGCCTAAAGGGAAATGTTGCCAACTTTAGCAACTCAAACTTAAACAAAGGAAAATTCGAAAAAACTACTAACTTCGAAAGAAAAAAATTGTTTATTAGTCAATGCAACAAAGAAACCCGCGTGTAAACGATATTTATAATAATGATGCATAAAGCAAACAATTTGTTTATTTAATATTAAACATTTGTTTAGGACATTTCATGCCTAAATGGTTCAATGGTTCTCCGTATGCACTCTTCTTCAGAATCCCTTCCGGCAGCACAAAAATATAACTTAACAAATTTAAAAATTAAATTAAAAATATATTTTGAACCATTCGCGCATGAAATGCATATATAATATATGTTCTATAAGAAAATGAAAGCGGATGCTGCCCAGTCTTAATTTTAAATCATTTCTTCTTCTCCGCAATAATAATTTATAAGACATTCACACAAAATCGATCGACACAAGCCCATTTTGGAATGCCTAAAAAAAACCATAAGCTCTATATAATTTAAGTTTTATTATTTTAATTTATAAAGGCAACCTCAATTAAGTCAGTCAGCAGGAATTGTTTTTTTTTTTTAGTGTACATAGTTTTGAAAGAATCAAGCAAGACTATTTGGGGCTCCTTTACAGCCTGCTCTACACTGAGAAAATTAAAGAAAGAATAGAAAGTGCTCATTCTGGCTACACATCGGTTCAAATGGGTGCTGAAGGCGATTTACCCGCGACAAAAATGATGATGATAATGATGTTGATATTGATACATGTAATTACGATATTTGTACACTTAAAGAGATGAATAAAAATTCGATTTTGTAAAACAAACAAAAAGGCTTTTGTATGAAATTCCAAAGGAACAAGGGATTAAAGCTTAAATTTCTGATTGCTCTGCCCACAAAGATACTCGGAGCCATCAAACAGACATTATCCACATGCTCTCCATGGCGAGGAGGCAGCCAGAGGCAACTATGTATGTAGCTATGCAACATATTGGCCAAAAAACAACAACAACAACAAGGAGGACCATGACGACCTAGTGAAATAGTTTTGGACATGGCCAAAGTGCTTTATGTTGCGACGGGCAGGGCTGATATTCGGAATTGGGCCAAACAAATAAATTCTGTGTCTGTGGCAAGAAAAGCCAAGCTAGCTGCTGGCACATGGGGCGTATGAGTAATGCCCAAGAGTATTTTAGCTTAAAAACCTTCAACAAGTCTCGGATTAAATTGCACGCAACGGCAGAAGATTCTTTTTTTTCAGAAACCAAATATTGATGATTTAGCCCACTTTTTGCAGGCACGAAATGGGGTTAAGCTAAGGCTAAGGGCAGCCATGGCACAATTTTCCGCGCAATATAAAGTAAATATACATTTTATGTCCAGGCCTTGTTAGGCAAACAAGCCAAGGAAGCAAACAAAGGAGGAGCGTGCCTAACTGGCAAAATATTTAAATGGCCAACGAAATTAGCAGCAGTTACGCAGCTGAAGAGCTGCACCAGCAGCAACAGAAGCAGCAACAGTAGCAGCAGCACCAGTCCTGTCTGCCTTCAAGGACAGACAGGGAAACCGTCGCGCCGCACAGCTCACGTGCCTAGCCTAGGCCTAGCCCAAGTGTGCCTTAACCTAGGCTATAAATAGCCTAGGCTTGGCGCTGCCTAGACAACCAAAGTGGTTCATCCGTGGCCCACCAGTGCCTGGCACGGATCAGTGCAGCCAAATCGGCGGTTAAACGGTCTGGCCGCGGCACAAGACCGAGTCAGTAACGCGGCGTCTGCTGAACGCAGCGCTACTTCCGTTCTCCCAGACTCTTTTCCTCCTTGGAATCTCTATACTCCCCCCTAAGAGGCACACACAATGACGACCAGCGATGAGATGGGCATGGGTGGCAATTTCTGCCACGACCACATCCAACATCCATTGATGTGGTGCGATGAGAAGAAGCGTCTGGTGGAGCGCAAGAATGCCGAGGAGAGTCTTCGCATGTGGCGGCGCAGGAAGGCGGAGGAGTGTGCTCGCAAGGAGAAGGATAAACAGGAGGTGGGTAACAGGGCATATACGTAATGTAGTAAATCAGATGGATAACGGGGAGTATACGTAATGTGATGAATCAGATGGATAACGGGGCGAATACGTAATATTCGTGATAGTTTAAAATCGGGCAAGTGGAAAATAGTGTAAAAGTGTTATATTTTGGAATTGAAGAGTTGTAGTTAAACCCTTCTTTTAAGTGGAAATATCACCGCTAAGGCTTTTACTTAGAGTTCTCAAAAAAGTCAGTAAAAAATACATATCTTTTGGAATAATACTTAACCCTTAACCAACAGAAACTCTTCTTAACTTAAAAATTGTATACAGCCTAGATAAACCCAGATATTTGTTAAGAACCTTAAGTTTTAAAACAAATTATATAAATTTTACTTCATTAACTACAACCTACTCCCAACCCAAGCCATTCATTTAAACACAACCCCCCCTAAATTACCAATCAAAAAACCCAAATCAATTCCCAATAATCTAATGCAAGGTATTCCTATCAAATAAACAAAAAACTTTTGTCAAAGCCATAAAAGACCAACCAAAAACCACACGAATAAACTTCGAGAAAGAACCTATGACAATCAAAATCCATCTCGAACCTTCACCCACGCGATAACTAGCAACTTGGGCTAAGTTCAAAGACCCTACCCCAAGCAACATGTAATACATCAGCTTTCGAGGATTTTTGGTTCAACAAACCCTTTGACAATTTGGACTTTGGTAATCACATCACCTCTGCTCCGGCAATGGCCCAACTAGAAGCAAGTTGTGGGACTCCCACGAGTCCTTGCGTGACTAAAATCCTTGCCGATTATTCGGCTATATCACCACAGCCTGCAGCCTGTGCCCGAAAAGTGGGTGAAAAATACAAGGAAAATTAAAGTGAAATGCAAATCGCGTTGCGCTCTGCAACTATAACAACAACCTACAAACAAAGTTCCTAGGCCAAAGGGAGGGAGACGCATCGGACTCAAGGGAATTTGCCAATTTCCGTAAACAAACAACGCCACACTCCGCGATTGACACGACGCGATGGGTTGAGGCGGTCCTGATGGGGTGGCACAATGTGTCTGGGACCCATAAATAGGCTGCCATGAAATCGATAAGACATAACTCGGTTTTGTAATCATCCTGCGGCAGTGTCTGACTGGCAGAGCACTGAACACATACCGAAAATCAGATAAATCGGGGAATTTATTAGATTTCACATTTTTTGGGCTAAAAGGCAAGGAAAAATATTTATGAATATTGTGCAGATGTGACCCAGAAGGAAATAAGGAATTTAAGGTTTGTAAATTATTATTTTTAGAAGCTCAATGGATTTAAAACTAAAATTCTAAAATTATTATATGATTTTGGCTTCAAAATTAATTTATAGTGACCTTAAATCCTTTAAAATAAAGCATTAACTCAATACAGTATTTATTAATGATTTTTAATTCAAGTGAAGTAATTCAAGACACACTTTCTTGTGGTTTCAAGTTTTCACAACTGTTTTAAGGAATCTGTCTACTAATTAAAACTATTTCTTTTAACTGAAAATGTGAATCAGGAAATTGGAACTTTTATTTTAATTAAAATTGTAAGCTAAACCTTTAAAAAATATATAATACTTTTCCCTCCAGTACTACGACCTATTCCATCAACACTGTCCCTGGGGTCGTCCTGGCGGTGGAGCGCCCAACGTTGAAGTTAGGCGCAAGGACATAACAGCCGTTGGTCTACATTCCACGCCCACAGTGGTATGGTTTTCCCAAATAAAAAACATAAGTAGTTAGAAGATTTTCTTATAAACTTTCCACCAATCAATCCCAGACCACTGCCCATCGGATGAATTCCCTGCAGCCGTGTCGCTACAACGACTTCTTCTCCATGCAGAAGAAGTGCCACAATAATCCGCTGGCTGCCTATCATCATCACCACCATCATGCCCCACCTGCTCCGCCTGGCCAGCGACTGCCCCATGCTCACTCCATTCATCATTTGCAGGAAAGTGGTCCAAGGAGCAGCTCAGTGACCATTTGCGAGCGGGAGATACCCCACAAACCAGGTGCCGGCGTGGGCGTAGGCCTGGCCAAGAATGCCAACGGTGAGAGTCTTCACATCCAGCTCAAAGAGCATCCCTCAATGTCCTTTCGCAATAAAGGACATGTGGATATCGAGCTGCGCTACAAGCCCTCGCCCCCGTGTAAGGGCAAGCCACTGCTGGAGAAGATCGTGGTCAGCGAGAGTGAGCAGCGGTGTCCACTCCAGGAAAAGTTGGCCACGCAAAAGAAGCGCCTGCAGGCGAAGCTGGAAAAGCCGGTGAGCGGCGGCTATTACGCCCCCGTGATCATGGCCTTACTAATTTGTATGTTTTCTCCTTTATCCTCAGCCCTGCAAGGAGCCTTGGGGTAAGGCAGGTCCTGGCGGCAAGCCCTGGCGGAGTCCGAAGGACCAACAGGGCAACACTTTTATGAAGTCATTGGTGGGTACCTAATAATATTTAGTTACTAAAATTACTATAAAAAGGGGAATATCCTTGCTTCAGGGCTGGACCAACAAAGAAATGCTCAAGGAGTTGGACCAGGACAACCCGGTGACGCCGGCGGAGAAGAACACTTTCCGTAAGTCCAGGCCCGGCAAGCTGCCAAAGCCGCAGCGTTGCTGTGAGATGTGCACCTGCAATTGTCCCGCCATGAACGGCAGTCCGCCGAAGCCATCGCCGCTGGCTCTGCCCCATCCGCCTGGGAAAAAGTGTCCGGGTCCGCCACCGCCGGGACCGCCCTGTCCGCCAGGACCGCCCAAGATTATCCACCACCTGAAGCCGCAGGACTGCAAGCCCATTAGACTGTGCCCACGGATGGCGGCGGCACGTGGACCACCTTGTCCGGGCAGCACCAGTACCGCCACGCCGGATGCCAGCACAGCGGGACATGGCGGCGACGGTGGTGAAGGTGGCGGCGTGGAGCTGGTACCACTGCTCGCCCGGAGACGCGGCATGCATCGACCCATCAGCCTGTCCAGCACGGATGTCACCAAGAGGACGCCCTCGCACGATAGGTACGCATTGAAGCACAAGCCCCCGACCTGTCAGCAGACCAAGATCAAGTGCATCAACAGCATCATCAAGAACATCAGCCACCTGAAGCGGCTGCCCAAGAATCTGAACTGCAAGCTCCAGTGTTGCAGTTGCGATTGCCCCACGGCCTTGGCCACGGGCTGCTGCCTCAAGCGGCTCACTCTGCACATTCGCCAGGCTTAGACTATCCAATAACCACTTGCCTTCCATCCGAATCCTGATTCCTCGATTCCTGAATTTTTTCCTGTTGCTTAATCCCTGTCCCTACCACTGCATTCATCGCATCCGTCCGTTTCTCATTTGCTTGCTCTGCGCTATATAGTTAAATATTGACGAGAAAGAAAGCCAACTTTCGGCAGGCCGAAGTTTTTTATACCCTTGCAATTATAGGTAAATCCCATTCCCATTAACGGTTGAAATCTATAATAGGAATATCAAAGAAATAATAGTGAATCTATGATATAGTAGTTCTTAATATGATTCAAAGAAATATATTTGATATTTCGTGTCTCTATCTTTAAAATCTTTAAAGACATCCAAGTAAATTATGCAAATTAAGACAGATCAACCAAACGGATATTTTATTTTAAAGAATGTTTCATAGTTTTTCTGCTGATTCAATTATCTACAAAAATTTCAAAATTTTTTTAATTCTTTTCCTATTATATAATATACCCTTGCAAGGGTATAAAACCAAGAACATCATCCGCTTTCCATATCTTTCCCTTAAATGTCTCTCTCTTGTGTATGCGCCTGTCATTCTGCATTGTTAATGGTTTCTCTACCTCCTACCAACCTCCCCACTTCTTCTCGGCTCATTCAGCAAGAAAATATCCATTGTAATCCAAGTGAAAGTATAGCAACCAAAAGAGCAAACCAAAATCAAAACCAATACCAATCTCACCAAACCAAAAACCAAACAAACTGAAACAGCAAAAAATCCAAAATCATAATACCAATCTTCTATGTATCCCCGTGCGAACTCGAAACTAAAAACCGAAAATCAAACCAAACTGAAACCGAAACCCGAAATGAAAAACCAAATAACATAAATGAAAACCATACAAAAAATGCTTTAAAAAACCCAACATAAACTAACAACATTTGCTGCCCACCATCATCAACTTGAACAACTTCCACCACGTACAGGATCCAAACGGCTGCCGACATGCGCTATCTTCACGATTTGAATGTCCAAATATCGCAGAATCGCCGTTCCGTTTCCGTTTCGAAGCAAATGGACCGGGATCTGTGCAACCAGCATTTCGACACCTTCGAGACCTTCTGGGGACGGCCAGGACACGGAGCCCGCGGCGACAAGATTAACAAATTGAAGCTGGACAATCTGCTGTATGGCGCCAGTGAGTCGGCCTAGGCCTAGGATCGTCGAGGCGGATATGGAAACGGTACCGGAAACGGAAATCCAAGGACACCCATAACCCACGCTTACCTACCACTTCCGGCACTGGCTCGTAGTTTGTGTGCTGCAAAATCATCATCACTGCCCAGAAATCAATCGATGCCAGGCTCTTTCCCTTCCGCAAAAGAGAAAACTACAGTTTCCAAAACTTGGCTCATGCTAAATCGAAATAGAACAACTTTTCTCCCTCTATGTCTGTCTGTGTGTAGAAATTTTGCCAACTTGCTGTGTCTGGTAAGTTGACCAAAGTTTTGAATAAGTCAGCTGGGTTTTCAAAAAAAGGAGAGTTAGAAATAAGGAAATAAAATGGTAGAAGAAAGGAAATTGGTTCCAGGTAAGGAGCAGACTTGGAAAATAACATTAGATTGTTAGCTATTTGCCATTTAGTTAGTTTTATAACAATATCTACTGCAGAGTACTTAAGATAGGCTAACTTATAAGTCCAAGTAAATAATTATTTCTTTGTTAATTCAAGTATTTCGTTCCAGAAATTGTTAAAGTTTGTGTTACAAACATTTTTTTAAGTCTTAGATATGTGTTTAGAGGTGTAATTTTCATGAATTATTTACCAAATATGTATAGATATAAATATAACAAATACTTTGTAAATACATATCAAACAATTGTGCAATAAATATATAAATAAAATTATCTACTTAGTTTCTTGTACTTTCCATGTATTATAATAATATTTTTAAATGGTAAATATATACGACATTTACAGATAATAATTAAATAACAAATATAACCGCTTTCCAAATCTTAATATACCCAGAACCCATGCAGAATAATAACTTTAAAAATAATGAAATAAATGTACAAAAATTCAAATTTTTTTGTTTTTACTTTACCACACGTATGCCCAGAACTCCTACATAATAATCATTAAATAAAGTATCTTTTAAAAACCAAATTCATGTAAAAAACTCGTCAAGAAACGTGTGTATCTAAATGTATCTTACATTCCCTTGTAAAAACCCGTGAAACCACTGAAAAACACGGAACAATGGCTCTCAAACTGGTTAAGCCTTGTATAGTTACACTTAAACTGTGGCTTTGGAAAAATCTCTGCCCAATGAAAATCTCTCACGAAAAAGTGCTTTAAACTCGACAGTCACCAGCATACCGCCTAAGTAAAAGATTTTTGGCTAAAAAACCAAAAGAGAAAAAAATTTGATAGACACTGCGTATGTCGAGTCACGTTCTCGTCATTTATTATTTTAGTTTTATATTATCCCAGGAGATATATATAGGCATATATATAACAACGCATGGAGCACATTCAGAGGAGTGAGTGGAGTAAATATGAGCCTAGTTACGTGGCTGACAGCCGCCTGTCCCGAGAGTTTTAGTTTAAAGTGCATTAAAAACGGTTCGGAAAATGAACCGGCAAAGTTTATCAAAGGGATAATGCTCCATTTTAGTGAATTATTTAACTCTCCTTTCATCTGGATTACTTCGAATTGGCGTAAACATTGGTAATAACCCCATAAAGCACGTTTACCGAGGCTAATTTGATTGCATTTCGCAATTAAACTTGCCTCCCAAAAAAAATGGCAGCACAAACCCCATTTCAAGGTTGGCTGAAGCTGCTAGCCAACTTGTACTCTTAATTAAGCGAAATTGTTTCTTCAACTTTTTCGATGAAATAAATAGATTATTTTTTAATTAAAAAATGTACTGAAAATCCCCCAACGTCATTTGCAGGTTGCAGAATTAAAGGGAATTCTGGCTTGGTGTTGAGAGAAAAAGTATTCCTTTGGTTCGCACTTCTCTAGTATCCTTTTGCTAATTATGCCAAACATCCATAAACACACACGCGCCTGCCTAGGAGTCGCCCTTCCTTTAAGCTAATGATGACGACTTTCGACCTCAACGAGTTGGAAAATAGACGTGAATCCAAGTCTGCCAAGCAAAAACGACGATGCCAGCAAAGCGAAGCGAAAAATCAAGAAAATATTTGCTTGCACCTGGAATAAAAAACATGCGTTGGAGAGACTAAGCCCTGGGCCCAGTCCATGTGGCCGAGGTATGTATATATGTACATACATATATGTTTGAGGCTCTTCACGCACCGAAAAAAATCCAGAAAAATAAAACAACAAGAGCTACGCTTGAAGAATAAGCCTCGACCGCTTTGATGTCGAGACCGTGGCTCAAAAACAGCGTTCAAACGGATTGCAGGGGAAAGATTTTCCGCCGGCTTTAAGAACTTTAAATGCTTCGGGAATATGCTCTCCTACATGTGTGCGATTTTTTAATTAGTTTTTTTATGTTTCTTTTGAAGTCTTGAGATTATATTTAATTCAAAAATATAACTATGGAACTATTAAAAGAAAAATTCATATAACTATCTGACCAAGATTCCGGAGTCAAAATAGCCAATGAAATAAGGTAAAACAATTGGTTTCTTTCAAATATTTTTAAATCTGTTTAAATTAAATCTTGGAATATATTTTTTAAGTCTTTTAAAATATAGAAGATTTAATGATTTTATGAAGTTTTCTTCCGTCAGTTATGTTTTTTAAACTTTGATTTGTCTTAAAAAATTGTCACATAAAACATATATAAGTATTGATTCAAAGATGCTGATATTTTAAGCATAGTTATGATCAATTTCGATTCAATTCTATGAGTCAAGGGCTATACAAATTAAGTCTTTGGTTGTTTTATATATTTTTGCATTTCAGAAGCTCAATATAAATTTTCCTAACCTTTTTCTAAATCATAGATTACAAATTTCTTTCAAAAATTATTTTAAAATTTCATTTGTTGATAGATTTAATTACCATTAAGCCTTAAATAGTTATTAAATTCTTATTTTCAAGACCTAAACTTATTTGCTAATTCAGCATTTCGTTTTATGCCAGCGAAAACAAAAAAATCTGAAACAATTTTACTCGGGAAATTGTCAAGTAATCACATGACAGGCTTTTCTAATTGAGCAGCCTAATCACCTGTTCTGTTTTTGCAACAAGGCCTAATTATGGGGTTTCAGGTACGTCCAGCTTTGTTAGTTTCCTCCCAATCCTACAGGCTGTGGTCAATGTTGCCCAATTAACTGGCCAAATTCCAGGCCGAAAATGGCAGCAATTCACTGTCAGAGTTACAGAGAATAGGAAAAGGGGAATTTTTTTGAGCCAAAGCAAAAGGCTAAAAGCAATGCATCATATTTGTCATTGTGTGTGTGTCCCAGTCGAGGGACCAGAGCTCTGCAGAGAAGGATGATGACCAACCGAGTGACAACCGTGGACAGCGCGTTTCTCCCTCTGTGACTCTGTGTTGTTTGCCTTTGCATCCGAATTTCGAGCAATTTTGTCTCCGGGAAACAAGAAGAATTCTTGAGGCTTCGCAGTGTCCTGGTATCCTGATGTTGACTTGGGTGAGCCAACAATGTCGGTGGCCTGCGCAAATATTTAGCTAACATTTTTCGGCTATTTCGCAGGATAATGCCGAGGAATTAACTATGCAAGCAGCAATGAGTTTACCATTTTGGGTAAATAAGACAAGGAGAAATTAAATTTAAATAAAAAACAATAAAACGGAGTAACAAACAAGAATGAAAGCTAACTTCGAAAAACAGAAATGAGAATACTCTTGCAGGTAAATATAGAGTTCTTCAAATACCATAACTTAGCAAAAAATTCGTTAAATTTAACTCGGAAAGCTTTTCTGTACTAGTTTTTGAATGTTAACAAATCTGCATATTGAATTTTTTAAATTTAAAATAGTAAACATTTTATCCAATTATGACAATTTTAACGATGTTAAGAACCCTTATAAAATTTTGAAATAAAAATTGGAAAAATATTTTTCTTCCAGACATGGCTAGATCGAATCAGCTGATGATGCTGATCAAGAATATATTTGGTTTATAGGGTCGGAAATGACTACTTCACTGCTTTGCAAGCCTTTGACTGAAATTATAATACCTTGTAGCAATAGTTAGCCAAATATCAAGGTCTGATTTGAAACTATCTCAAGGGTAAGAATTAATATTCGTAAACATCTTTGAGTATACGTTTTGTAAATATCCGTAAAACAAATTGCTGTGTCACCTTTAATTAAACTTAAGAAATGGGGCAATTAGGTAATTAATTGGCAAGTAAATTAGGAATGGATTTATGCCTAGGCCTGATTTCTTATATAGCATCTATATATATGATATAATTGTAATGGTTACGACTTACCGAAATAGAGGACACACTTATTCGTCATTGCTTAAGTCCTTCCAGAGTAGAGTTATGATATCATCCAAGTAAGCTTCTTCCAGGTTATCCGGATGCATTCCAATGGCCACGTCATATTCTTGGGGTGGAAGCGTAATCACAATCACTATCACTGCAGATGTTATCACTGGAGAAATCACGGACAGACTGAGGCCGGCGGGCCTGCAGCGCCTCTATTTATACTCCCCAGGCAAGAGAACAGAGATGCTGAGAGCGAGAGAGTAAGGGATCGCTTTAGAGAAAGGCAGGGAGAGCTACAGAGAAAGAGGCCTATCTAGAGAGGCACAAAGAGAGTAAGAGGGAAGGAGTTACCCCTGGAGTTCTAGAGAGCGGTAGACATACATTTAACGATCTTTCCTATGGCAGCTATATAGTCATCCGATTTTAATAAAATTAATACCGAAATTATAAAATAATACAAAATACTCTTATCGTAAAATAGATGAAAATAAGATGAAAATTTGACAAGTTTTAATTTGTTTTGTAAAGATTTTTCGATCCACGTTGATGCTGATCAAGAATATATATACTTTATGTGGTCTGAATTAGCTCCTTCACTCCTCTCTTACTAAAATCAAAATACCCTGCAGGGTATAAAAAAAAATACAAAAAACGGAAACATATAAAACATGCAAATTGAATTTTGTGGACTAATAAATTTTATTTGTATTTAGTTTTATCGCTTACACCCCGTGTTGCCTTCCGGCAACTGTTTTGTTGCGTTGC